TATCACATTATTTTTTGCAGAAAATTTATAAAATAAAAACAATAAGGTATTTTCGTATTTTCTTCTTAAAAAATTTTATTAAATATATTCTTGAGTTTTCCACTTCTTTAAAGCAGCAACCTATAAGGTTAGAAAATCTTTAGAATTTAAGATGAAGATGATTAATTGCAAGACAATTACATTGCTCTTCTTTAAAATGAAAAGGTTTTTTTTTTCATATTTGGAAGCCTAACAGAGCTTGATCTTTAATATATTCTTATGTTAATCTCTTCTTATATTAAGATGAAAGTAGTTCATTCTGAAATTTCAGTCGTATTTAACCATGTGTATATTATATTAGTAGAAGTTTATAAAACCTTTTGGAAAATATGTAATTATGTTTTCTTTTTGATATGTTGTTTTTTTCCTAAAGATATTAGTTTTATTGCAGTTTGATAATACATCGGTTTCAGCTAAGAGCTTATGAATGTTATACAACATATTAAATATTATATGAAAATGTTCATAAAAATATAATGTAAAGTCGGATATAAAGTTCATGAAAAGTACAATGTAATGTAAAGTAGAGGAGCCTCTAGTCACATCACGGTCGGATGAACTGGTTAGTCTAAACATATGAGTATCATAGTTAAGCGCAAGCAATCAGAAGAATTTTTTATGGTTACGTTTCTTTGAACTGAAAACTTTGATTCCGTATGGAAAGAAATGTTTCCAATATTCATTTTTTTGACATCGAAGTAATGAAACATAGAAGCTCCTAACTGAAACCACAATTTTATTTCACACAGTTCTTATTTCTTTCCTTCGTTAAGAAAATGTAACAGTATGTTTCTGCCTCTGATTAATTTACTAATTTTGCTGAATTCATCGTTGTTTATTCATTTCTCGGTTTATTTAACACCTGAAATTATTGATTCGATTTAATACGAATAAAATAATACGGAATATATTTTTTTATATTTGAATTCTCTACAAATCTGCAGTCTTATCAAAGAACGTATACGAACGTGGCTATCCAACTGGTTTTTCATAAACAACATTTTTAATGTAAGCTAATACACATTGTTATGCTAATCACATGCCCGTTTACATAGCAGGAAGATCTACATGTTTTCCGTGCCTTGTTTACTTGTTAAAGAATTTCATATAGAAAAAAAGTGTCAAATTGTTTACTTTATTTGCAGCTAAGATCACCTTCCTAAGAAATTGCAGGTTTAATGTCCTGGCTTGAATCCAATATAATTCTAGTTTGAAAGAATTATGTTAATTATCGATGTATAGGTTTGTCTGAAAAACTGTGTTAAGTATGATAATGATGTCGTTTTGTTCTTGGGTAAATGTCCTTGGTTTAAATGCGCCTTTGTCCTCAAATCAGATCATTATAATTCCAATCCACGTAACTTGTGTTAGAAATAAAAATTTATTATCGTTTCTGAGATTATTTTAGAATTCTTTTGTCACCTGCGAGAAATCTATAGACGTAAAGAGGAAGAATCTGTGTTTAATTTCGCTAATGTTCATTTTTCAAGATTTTATTTTCTTTCGAAATTTATGTTCTAAATATTTCAGTAATTAAAGACAAACTGCGCTAAGTATAATCACAAGTAGTGTATGATCAGATATTGACATTACCCCTGGAATTAAATCATTGTCTAATTTCCCTTTTTTTAGAAAGATTCTTGATATTTGCTTCAAAAATAGCTTGCATTTAAAATTTCCATATTAGTTACTCAGATAAAAGTTTAAAAAATTCCCTCTCAGTAATTATTTTTTTTGTCCTTTATCTTTTTTTTTTTTTATCTTAAGACCTTACACCTAAATTTATTTCGCCATATGCATTTATTGCACCATGTGCAGTAAACATACAATGGGTCTTTCTTAACAAATGCAATTAGTACTTTTGCCAATCGTTGTCATTAATATAATCGAATATATCAGGACCCCACAGTAAATTTTGTCGTTTCCACTCTAATATACATGCAGTACTGAAGATAATTTATACAAAACTATATACTGATAGCAAAAATTATAAAAATAGTCTTCTAAATGCTAAAACTAAGCAAAGTATTACTAACTAAATGGAGTAAAATGTGGTTCGAATATTTGCGACGAAGCACAATAATTATTTACGATATAATATTAAATAAAATAACAATAATTTCTTAAATACTGCAATAATATGAAAGCATATCTAACTAAAATCTTACATAAAAGTGAGACAAACTTGTAAAAAGGATTAGTAGCAGATCCAGAGGACGCTAGATCCAAAAGGAAAGGATAAATATCTTACCTTTGGAATCCTGAATGACATTATGTGGTACCTAAATCCGAAGTCATTGCTCTTCTTTGAAGTATCCCGTAAGTGTTTACAAATATTTTACAAAATTTTGTTAGTTGTTTCAAGAATTTCCTGTTAATGCTATTTAATTTTCTTAAAGTACCTTTTGTACAATAAACAACTGGCCACCCATTCGTTTATTGGTTTTGATTGACTATGTTTAGTTAGATTATGTATATGTTTTAGGTTTTACTTCAAAAATTTAAAAACAAAAATTATAAGGATGAACAATTTGGAAAATTTTATAATTAAAACATTTATTTACGTAATATAAGTAAATAGCAAATGTATTTCAAGGAATTATTTGGAAGAAATGCCTTAAATGAACATGAAAGAAAACTGCATTTTTTTAAAACTAAATTATTCAAATTTTCAAAAATCTCAGTTATATAAAGAAAATGACACTTCTCCTTTCTCGACCAATATATATATTATTGTTTGAGCATTTGAAAAAAGTATTTACCTCTTTAGTACATGTCTAGTAGTGTGCCAATATTTTGTTAATGTTATTAAAGAACTGTGATCAATGAACCTTTTATTACGTCCATTTCGAAAGAAGAGAATAGCAAATATAGTGACAACTTTAAACATGCGTGGATGAATTGTCAAAGACAAAATGTTGTTCTTATTTTTTACAATATTTGATCATGTGATATTGTACGCTGATATATGATATTGTACCGTTACTCATCTATTAACATGTTTCAAACTCTACGATTAAAATAACGTCCACTGAATTTAGCTAGTATTTTATAAAGATCATTTACCTTCTGATATTATGTTTTTTTATTAAATGCCTTCATTTTTATATCAAATATATAATAACTATTTTTAGAGAGAAGAGGCGAATTTTCTGCTTGTTAATAAAAAGTGCATTCTGCTTCACCAAAATACACTGGCGGCAAAATTAAAGAAATAATTATATAAAACTCATCTAATTTGAATCAGTTTGCAGCTAGGATGCTCAAGATTTTTTTTATGCCTGGAAATTCTTCAAAATACAAAGCTGCCTATTTCTGCGAAGAATAAATTTAAATGTGAACATAGAAAATGCGATATAAAGAGAGATAAGGAAAAAATGATGCTATAACGTTTTAGAGATACTTAACGAAATTAACCTTTTAAAAGGAACTCGGCTGCATTCCAACCAAATACGATGATCTCTGCGCCACTGCAAACGGTCTTGTTTCACAGCTCGAGTTACTGGGATACAAATTATCGGTTTTCTTACATATCTCTGTCTTTTATACATTCTCAGGATATCCGGGTGGTCAACTTTCTGTAGTTTTCAGTAAGCTCCTTTCTAGTTTGGGTTAACGTCAGTCGCCTATTTCTTTGAGCAATCATTGCTAAATTACGGTCTTCAAATTCTGTGTGGTACATTGACGACCTTGCGATGATTGTCCGCATGCATCAGATTTTTGACATGGCACATTTGGCTACTTTTTGCTCTTCACAGACCTGTGTCAGCGTCTGTCCTGCTTTCAGTCTCCCTTAGTACGCCATTTGTCAGAAATCGTTAGTTAACTTCTCAGTACCATTTTCCAACTTCCACAAGCAAACATTAGTCCAAATTCTCATAAATGCTTTGCAATTAGAATTTGAAGCATCCCCTCGCATGTTTTTCCACACGTGCCGAAAGAACGAGAAAAAATTTATATTTCCGTGTAGCGAAGGTTAATCTCAATGGACTGTTTGGTAACGCTGAATTTGAACTACCAAACAACTTTCTTTCATTGATCTCACCTGATAGAAGTAACATTTATTTTTATTTCCAATGACTAGGAAAAAAGTTGCAAAGAACTAAAATCTTACAGAGGTTACAAACAATAGAACTAAAAACAAAAAGACAGAAGTAATTGCCTAAGAAGCGCTCTTGCCTCCAATATGACTCCTCTATAAGACCACAAGGAGCCCTACATCGAAGCAGGTGGTCCATGTCCATTTCTTCTCCAGAATTACAAAGTAGGCAAATGGGACCGTTTGAAATGCCCGTGCCGAGCAGGTTGGGACAAGACAATCATGTCCTGTAGACAGACGGAAAGCCTCAACTGCATTGCGCCTTGAGCTGTCGGGAATAAACTGTCGGTTATCATTCTCCAACTTTCTAAAGCTGTAAGAGTCTAAAGATCTGCGAAGATATTAGACGTAAATAAACTTTTTAAAAACAGTTTTATCCTCCAATAAGAAATACCTGTACTAGGATGTTGTAGTAATAAGTGGGCACCCCTTTTTGCAAGTAATTACGATTGTTAATTGCCCCAAAGGCCACAATGACCATGCAATGACCGCTGGAGATCGATTTGATTCCTCTTTAGAGTTCTCGTGAATTCTTGACATTGTAAAATTTCAGGTGTTGTGTTATCAGAGCTAATTGATTGAATGGCTGCGTGAGAATCAGAAACATAACCACATTTGCAAACTTGTAATGGATACTAACAATTGGCTACAACTAATAATTGATATAAGTTACATAAAGCATATTTTTATAATCTTTTGTTACTCGCCAGAAAATGTTAAGACTTTCAAAAGAGGGATATTAGAGAAGAGCAATAACTTCAAAAGTTGAGCATGCAAGAGTCTACAATTTGGCGACTAATAAAAAGCAAAATTAGAGAGGTCTTAAGTGCATCCTTTGAGTCTGCCACCTACCTCATCTTACCTTGGGAGGAGGAGACAGTAAGAGTTGAAGAGCCGAGACACCCAAGAACAAGAAGAGGAGTACAGATGCCACATTACGGATATCAAACACTGAAGTGACGAGGGGTATGCTACCCATCTGCCAGTCATAGGACAGTGTACTGGGATTAAGGAGCATCCAGAAGTTGAAAGCAGCAAGGTAGGAGTATGTATAAAATCTGTGACAAAATGCAAAAATGTTTATTTGAAACAGGTTTTGAAAAATGTGATAAATTTTGATAACACTTAGAAAAAATACATTTTATTTCATACATTTCAGTGCTTTCATGCAGATATTTTAGGAGTCCATTTAGAATTTCAAACCCGTACAAAAACACCTATAATTCGTATTGCGCATATTATATGTTCCTGAAATCCGAATCGTACATAAACTGTTCCATTTAACATATATAATGTGGACCTAGTTTAATTATATTGAACTAATGAAATTGTTTTCCCCAATTTCGCATTCGTTTTGATGATATGATAAGATAATAAAGATAATATTAGATTAAGATTATGAATTAAGATAATTATCATATCGCCTGATTCACTATGAGGTTGAAACTTTTATCTGAAATTATTTTAGAATAAAATATATTCAGAAGGATAAGTTTGTAAATATATTTGCACTGAGCAGCATAAATATCACCATAGCTAGTCTGCAAAATTTTATGTTCATGCAATGCATTCACTATGCAATATTTTATTTACGCTTTAATTAATGCTGTTTAAAAATACCTTAATAAAAGAATAAACATAATTCATGGTCTTATGTAACATTTATTTATACATTATTTTTGCTCTGTAATAAAACATTAAAACTATTAGGTATAATGATCCTTTTTACTGCTAAAACTTGCTCTCAGAGAAACTTTCTCAAAAACCAAGTGTCACAATGCAGCTGGCAAAATACTTTAAAACGGAGTGTGGACACTTCTACAGCAATGCTCGACTAATAGTTTCCATACCGTTTATGATGATAACAAACAAATCAGTATGGAGTAGTGGTCATTAAATGTTACAGCAGGTAGAAGTTCTGAAATGTTAAGGATTAAGAAATTAAAGATTACAAATTCCTTAGAACGCAATATTCATACTCTCTAGGATTTAAATTAAAAATGCACTTAGGCAGTCCTTACCCATAATGATCTCCACTAATGGAGCTTGGAGTGGGTGAGAGGTATTATCTTATAATACAATGATTTCACCTATTGGCTATGTATAAAGGAATTCATAAAAACTTAGAATATCGTCCCTATAACTAAAGACAAAAACATTTTGATATTTTGTGTGCAAAGGAGTGATCAACTACCAAGAAGAAACAAAAACATGCAACTTCCGGCACAGGAGTTTATTTGAGATATATTACTTCGGTTAAAAAGAAGGCTTGACCCTCTGTACATCAGATAAAAATATTTAATGCTTCGTGTCCGATGTAGAAATTAATTTATGAACAATTTCTCCGATAGTTTTCATAATTTACGTAATTATTTCTCTATTTAACCGCTGTCTACTGTAACAAATAATTTAAGAAATGCATTAATTAATTTACTCCTAGAACAGACCTCTACAATGAAACTTAAGAGTCTAAGCGAAAGCTAATTCGGCATTACTAGCATTTGCTACGAGAACGAATTTTAGTAGATTCTGAAAGTGCCCTTTTGAAGTTGATATCATCTAACGGTCTAGTACAGAGATCTGAGTACTTCTTGACTATAAATTTCGTGTGAAGAATCCATGTTTCAAAACTAATTCCACCCTGTATAAGCAACTGAAAAGCTTATATTCAGTCATGCTCCCTCATCTGAATACGTTCGAGAGCTTTGAAACGGAGGACGGAACTCGATTGCAGCTCGTGTTGAATCAAGAAAGATTTCGTAAAAGATTTATGGATATCTTTCTTGAAAAATAATTACTTCAAACACTTTTTCTCATTTTTGTGATTAGCTTATAAAATAACTACGCGTTCCTCGCCACCTGATTTTATTCCCCCCAATTTTGTAAACTGGCGCAATACATAGTAGGTACGCTGATAAAACGTTCTTTTGTTGCCTGCATAACCTTGCAGTGTTCCTCCCTTTTATTTATTAACTACGTGTGGAGGAACCTAGTGAATAGCTAAGTGAATAATCATTTAAGCTCAGTAATAGAAACGGTAACTCAAGAGGGTTTAATTACCCTTTATTGCTCAAACTAAAGGTGTACAGCTGTCCTTTTCTCAGGAAGTACAACAAAACCTCCACTCGGGCTTAAACTCAAAAATATAGGAAATAAGAATGTAATTAATGACTAACTGAAGAGATATAGCCGAAGCTATTAAAATTCTAACTAGTTCGCCTCTAAATATCGAATTAGCTAGCGAAGCTATCAAGGGTAAGTAAGACGGCCGAGCGTAGTAACAACTTAGAGAGACGTGTCCAAAAGACAAATGCATGCTATTCAGAAACTCTTGATTCTCTCTCTGTGGAATAAGGAGGAGTGGTATTTAAGTCAAATGAGAAGGAGTAATATTTAAGTCAGTGGAACTTCGACTTAAATACTGCTTCTTCTCATTTGCATTTAACTCCATTCTGAAAACTCATACTGGGAAGGAATTGTAAGCTGAAATTAGGAGAGCTAGGAAAGGATCTTAAAAATAACTGTTATAAACTTAGGATAAACCTTACATCCTAATTCGAAGGAGGCTTCTCTACTGTAAGCGATTTATTGCAAATGTTCCGATATTGATTTAATTTATGGAAACTAATGTATGTTCAGAAAACAATATATGCTTTTATTTTTTTGCATTTGTACGGCAAATAAGAAAGTTTGCGATAATTGGGATATTGGGATAATTGGGATATCAATATTAAAATTTCACTGAAATTTGGTACACTATAAGTTTAGACTCAAATCCTATTTGCCATTTTAAGAAGTGATATTATCCTTACTAGGCTAAGAATTTTTACAAATATCTCTGCCATCTTTCAGGAATAGCACGAAATACTATTCTGCAGATGAGCTATGATGGAAAACCATTTGTCAAACGCGCAATGTCTTAAGACACGAATTACGCGTAAAACTATCTATTAAATTTGGAAACATCATAAGTCTATAGACCATATAATATACTTTTTAACATAGATTCCTTTCCTAAAAGTACTTCCAAAGTATATCTACTCTAATGCAAATGCAAAATACAGATATCTAAGATTAAAGGCACGAAAATTCTGGATATTGTTTTAGTGCAATTGCACTCCCATCTTGCAGTAGCTACTGGAATCAGTTTCTGGTTATTGCAGAAAATTTCAGAAAACTGTCCCTCCGCTAAGCCATTCATGTTAGGATGATAGCGCTTGTTCACACTGACTTTGACTGGACAGAAAGTACTTCTCAAACTGGATATTATTCGCATTGAACAGGATAGCTAGATCATCGGAACAAAAATCCATTTTAGCTTGTGTACATTAATATATTTCTTTATTTTATTACTCTCAAAATCCCAGCACTAAACGCCTTTTTGTGTTTGCATGAATAAAGAAATGGTCATTTTGTTCACTGAAATAACTGACCACAACTGGGGTGCGGCAAAAAAGGTAGTTCAAATAGTGGTTGCTCGGTTTGTAAAACCGGCAATACTGTGCACGCGGCCGCGTTAGGTAGACAAATGTATGCAATTGTCAGTTATCGATATGGCTTGGAGCGGAGTGCATCGTGCTTTCGTTGTCGAGTGGGGAATCTGTAATAGCGACGCAGCGTACCTTTCGTAATCAGTTTGATGTTGGTCGGCATGGCGCGGTTTCAGATGGAAGAACAATTCGTCGGTGGGTTTTACACTTCAGGGAAACAGGTTCTGCGCTTAAACGAAAATCTACTGGCCGACCAAGGACAGTAAAAACACCAGAAAATGTGAATGTAGTAAGAGTTTCCGTACAGCAGTCTCCAAGGCGTTCAGCTCGTAAGCATGCAGCTGCTTTGGGAATTTCTCGAAGAATTTTACACATCTTACTCCAAATGCATCCGTACAAAATGATGGTAGTGCAGGAATTAAGTGAAAGAGATTTTGAAACCCGTACAAATTCATGCCGGGGTATTCTTCAAAACATTCCCCGAGGCGCTGTATTCATGTCTAGCGATGAAGTGCACTTTCACCTATCGGGTACAGTAAATAAGCAAAATTTCCGTTACTGATCGGCAAATAATCCCTAGGAACTTCATGAGCGACTACTTCACAGTCCAAAGGTTACCGTTTGGTGGGCAATATCTGAGTTCGGCGTGTGGGGTCTTTACTTTTTCGAAGAAAATGGAATAACGGTAACAGTCAACGGAGATCGATATTTTGATATGCTTAACAAATTCCTGCGTCCAAAAGTCAACAAATTGAACGATAATCACCAAGAACATCTTTGGTTCCAGCAGGATGGTGCTACGTTGCCCACCACGCGTCGTTCACTTAATCTTCTTCAAGAAATGTTCCCAAACAAAGTGGTGTCTTTACGGGTTGATCTCGGCTGGCCGCCGCGTTCGCCAAGATTTGTCGCCTTGCGACTTTTTCTTTGGGATTACCTCAAATCGAGAGTTTTTACACATCGTCCGCGGATTTTGGAAGAATTAAAGGCAGCCATAAGACAAGAAATTGCCGCAATTCCCCAAGAAATGATCCATCGGGTAATGACGCGCTTCCGTGAGAACCTACAAGAGTGCATCGACAATAATGGCCGTCATTTAACAGATATCATTTTTTAAAAAATAACGTTCCTAAATGGCATGAAATGTAGATTTCAAAAAGAAATAAACAAATTTTTGCTTTATGTGGTTTGGTTTTTATTGACATCCCAAATAGTACATATCATTTTGCCGCAGCTTACAGTAGAGTACTCTCATCGAATCCTGCAAGTGTTGTCTTAAATCATACTTAAAAAGAATGTCCAGTGCGCAATGACATCTCATTTATGGACGATTAATTTCCTGAAAAAATGATTGCGATAAAAACTACTTTTAAGAGGTTTGAGGTAAGATTCCGTTAATTTTTTTACAAAATTCATCAAAGTCTTTCATTTTATTTCTCATGATTATTTCTTTTTAACCCCACGAATATTAATGGATTTAAAATCAATCTTCTAGAACATATGTTTCATTATACGTTTCCCATCATATAGTAGAATTTACAAGTGTAATATTAAGCAAAAATTAATTTTACTAGAAAGTGAAAATTGAGACAACTTCTCTTTAATTCTAGAGGTTTAGAGGTAATAATCAGAGAATTTTGCAACCGAAATACACTATTTTGGCGTTAAATAATCGAAAGAATCGCATAAATTCAAAGCCAAAGCAATATTAATAATATGTGAAGTATAAGTATTAAGTATTTTAGAAACTGATTCTTTTAACCTCATATTAATTACTTCATGCGTCTGGCAATAGAATATAAGCATTTGAGATATTAGAAATTCTTTTAAGTTAACAATATTAATACTTTGGAGCTATTCATATTTAAGTACATTAATTTAGTTTCTTACGTGTACGATTGATTATTCTTTGAAATGCTAGTAAGATTATTAATGTTTTATTCATAAAATGACAAATATTATGAGATTTTTAAGCATTTTCCCACAAATTACTTTTCCATTACAATATTAAAAGAATAAGAATATCAGTATCTACAATAGAGTTACAGTAATTAAGATTTTAATATTTGTATACCTCGTGAGCAAAGACGGGCAAAAGGAAGCTGGATTGTCTTCTTCTGAAAAGCGTGGCATCGATCCTTGAAGCATCCAAAGGCGAAAGGCCACTAACATCACTAACTAAAAAATAAAGAAAGCATTAGTGAAAATATTATTATTCTTTAAAGGAACGAATTAAGTTCAGTGATATTTAATAAACATACTTAAGTTGAAGCAGTTGTTCAACGAAGTGCGCTTAATTAAAACAAAATACACAGTATAAGCTTTTCGAAAATGCTAAAGCGAAATAAGAATTCAAGTGGTGGACTTACTATGTAAAATGTATTACTACACATAATCCCATTCAGATTCACTCTGCTATTAATAATTATATGGTGCACATATCATCTTAAACACAGTAACGTATTGCTCAAATTTTCACTATCGTTTAGCTATTATAATGCATTGTTTTTAAAGCCCATTTAATTAAGTTGTTAGACAAATTATACAATGCTCCGTTTTTTCTAGTAATTATTCAGTCGTGAAGTGTTGAAAACTAGATTTTGCAATTTAGTACTTCAACTTTGGTTTTGAAATATCTTCGAAATCTTATTTATCAATTAATTATTATTAGTTATCTATAATGAAAAGGAATTAAGCACGAAATGCACATTTTTACTTCCTTTTACGTAATGTTTTCTCTTTTCATCACATAAATTATTCGAATCGTTAAGTCAGGATGATTAATTTTACATTTTGTTCGTTCAGGTTTCATTGGTAATTTTTGTTAAATGTGGACAAGAGTTTGTTAGGAATTACTACACGTTTGTAGAAAATTTTCTGACGGTTTTAGTTAGCTCACAGAATGCTAAATGGGTTGCTTCACTAGTCTAAATATAATTAAATTTGCTAACATTTAGAGAGCACTACTTGAACTAGAATACCTCTGTTCTAAATAATACTTTTGAAAAACTCATCATCATATTAAGAGAATATCTGTATTAAGGGCATTGAATAAGGTGAATTGTCCGACTGTGCATGAAATGAATAATTAATAGAGCAAGGAATTTCAGAATTTTCTAGGATACTGATCATTACTTAAGTTTATAGAATAAGTTTTAATCAAATCTTTTCGTTTGTTTTAGGCCTTGCCAATATAGAGTATAAAATTAAATTAAGTATGGGAAAATGTTAGTGCATGCAGAGGACTTTCCGGAGTGAGATGGGGATCAATTTTGGTAAACGTATTTTTAACATAATTAACATGCAGAAGTTTCTGTTGAGTCTGCTGATTTATTTCTGCAAAATAATTGTTATCACTTTCAAGTATTTGTTAACTCGAATTTGGATATTTAAAATGCCAAGAATAGATTTGCCTATTATTTGCCTATTATTTTCAAATTTAGCTCAAGCTTAGTTTACTCTTAATTTAAATATGCGTCACTATTCTATTTATTAATAACAAAGCAATAATCCTCAAGTTTACATGTCATCTTCATGCAATCCTTTTGTTAAATATAAATTTAGACAAAACAGAATGCAGGCAAAAGTAAGCAGAATAAAAAGTCATCAACAATTCGCCTTTTCTTTTCGATTTTTTATGAAAGTGAATCCAGTTTTTCAGTTTAAATAAAAAGGCAGATTATACGAGATTATACTCGTAGATAAAGCATATTATTATACAGGTACAACAAAAAACAATTGATTTTCTGTTAAAAACTAAATTTTAATACCTTGTTTGGAAATGTTATGCTTGTCAGCGATAAATTTGATATGAGTTTGGAAACATTCTCTAAATTAATGCATAATATTTAAAGAAAGTCATTTCGTAGGATTTAAAGGAAATTTTTGTCAATGTTTGAGAAAAGCAAAGGGAAAATATGTAATACTTTAAGACTGCATTAACGTTTGAAAACAAAAATGCGTTAACGAGTGAAAAAACATATCTGGAGTAATTAAAAAAACCTTTTTTTAAAGGAGATAGAAATAAAGAATGTGTATACTGTTATTTCATTACTACATTATAAAGAAAAGAGAGACAGACGTTAGCAAGAAGTGCTTGAAATTATATTATACCCTTCGCCCGAAGTCTTACAAGGGAACTTCGAACTGGTGTGATATATAAACCGCAAGAGTATATAGGAGAAATTCCTTATAAAATGAAATTTTCAAATAGTACTATATCTGCTTACTGTACTTTAGAAACACAAATATGATAAACCCTTTTTGAAACTAGTACATTGCCAATCAATGCAAGAATCATGCAATCCTTCGATTGCGAAGTGGAAGTTTACAGTTTCAAATTCTCGCCTTTTGTTGTTTTAAAATTTTTTTCACTAATCTGAGAAAAACTCCTGTGGTCATTACTGATAACGAAACACTGATGTTTTAACATGGGACATAAACGATAAGCAGGCCGATGACATTTGAAAATCTTTGTTTCGATCTTTAATCTCAAAGAAATAATGTTATCCAATCTACTCGCAAAGTGGCAGCAATTTTATTAGACAATTGCTGTATGATTTATAAGTATTTAGCTTTGCATAAGCATTAAACATAGTCTTTTGAGTCAATGTTGCATGCCAGTTCTGTATAAAAGATTTTAAAAACTCAAGTTACTTTATGTTACTTCTGCGGAAACCTCTCGTAACGTATTCAAAGGAAAAAAGATACGCGCTTATTCTTTCTTAATGATAAATTCATTCCGACATTAGTACGAGTAGGCATATTTCTGTAAGCGTCTTAAATTTTGTTGCAAAAGGAAAACCAAATCATATATTCCAATCCTGTATATATATCTGGAGTTATCATAATTTAAGGGAAAAGTCCAGAATACCTTATGAAAATTAATTTTAATGCTATGAAAGGCTATTAAATTATTCAGTCCTACATACCAAATTAAACTTATTAAGAAAACCAAAAGCTAAAATTATAGTAAGAGATTCAATCAACATAACATTCGAAATATTAGAAAGTAGCCTGAATATACTCTTGAACAATCTCTTCAGTGTTAAGACTGAAATATTTCAGGAATTGGTTCGATGATCAAACAAGCATTAATTATCTATTAAATAGAGATAAATTGCCTGAATAATGCAGTAATTTATATAACTTGTTTGTTTAACTAAAAAACGTTTAGGAGGTGGCTCTGATGAAGTCACTAAATCCTATAGTTGAGTCTATTGTGAAGATGTAAATAATGTGAAGGTATGGCATAGAAAATTGCTCTCCGTAATCAAAAGGATATTTGATTTTATCCAGAACACCTGCATGATAGTAAAACATATTACTCTGGTTTCATGGCTGACAGTACACTATAATGAATACAGTCCTTTTTAAGTTAAATTGGGATGTCTGGAAACTTTGTATAGATTTACTCTTGCGACTTTTATTCATTTCACAGAGATGAAGTAGAACGTGGTGTCCACAGATGTCAAAATTCAAGCTCTGGCATTAAGACAGCGAAACATGATGGTAAAGGATACGCCTAAGTGTTTGCTTTGCAACAGCGCCTTATTAATAGAAGTAGTATTCGGTTAAATTCATTAACAAAGCAACGATTAATTTGGTGAGAACCCGTCAAATCATTAAGACGTCTCCAGCCTTCGGTACTATCCCTCAGTGTTTTAAAGAAAATTATAAAAAAGTAATGGGCAGAATTTAAATAAATTAACAGCTGTTTCTCCCGTAGAGCACGTATCATGCGGTCTACAATTTTTCATAATGTTTGTTCTAACTTTTACACTGAACATCAAAAAAACTTGAACGAAAGTTTTTGTTACTCATTACTTGCATATTCACTTTGTAGCCACGGATTTATTTCTGAAACGAAACATATTTGTTAATAGCTTTCTTGAAGAACTTACATTTTCCTCTTCTTCAATGATAAGTTAAACATATGGCGACATTAGGAACTTCGTTGAAAATAAATTTTATCCTCACCGCACTCGAATATGACATATCCTAATAACCGACTCTCTGTATCATCCATTAGTACATCAGCAACAATCAACAACAATTTTCTTCTCTTATGCGTGCCTGCATGGTATAGTTGGAAGCACGTCCGCTTAGCATTTGGAGGTTCGAAGTTCGAATTCTGGCGAGGACAATGCTGATTTTGTTATGTTCCCTACTCCTAAGTAAACTACATAAATCTGAACAAAACTATGTTGGACAATAATTTTTCTTCATCATTAGGCGACTCGGTCCCATCCTTCGCACTTGGCCTTTTAGCGGTGAAGAACATAAGGAACTTTCTCTGTCGTTACTGTATACCTTCCTAGTGCAATTGAAAAGTCGTCCAACTAACATCGGGAATACAGGAGTTCAAATACAATGGAGGGAACCACTGGTTTTCCCTTTTCCTCATTTGAAATAAACCTAATGATTCTACAACAGAAATGCCTTTAATGCTGCATTTCGTAGAACGTAAATCCCATAATATTAATTCTTAAAAATATAGAACAGATTCGGATTTATCATCATAATATACACCGAATTAATAGGATATTTTCAAACCTTAGCTGCGGTTTTCAATAAGAATATAGTTACGTTTAGTAGTTAAACAATCAAGCTGGATATATGAATAAAAATAAAATGAGTATGTCTCTTCAGTAATTTCCATTATTGACAACTATTTCTAAAAAATCAAATGCACTTCATAAATGTGGGAAAAAGCACTTACCATCAATATTGTTATCCATAAAATAGCATCTGTTAATAAAAATATGCCTTTCTTAAGCAAAATCTTTGGCGTTTCCCATCTAAAAAAATCATCATAATTAGTTCACGTACGAGCATTTTATTTATTCACATTTTTTATGAAATGAAATTTCAACTTTTAGATTTATCAGAATTTCTTAAAATCATATTTATTACAAAACAAAAAAGTACATTCCCATCATGTAGCTGATATAAAAAATTAATCTCAAGCAAATAATTAAATTCAGTTATAACTTCCCTGACGAGTACAATATTCCTGGATAAAAACTGGCTCCACAAACGACTATTATTTCTCTACTGCATAAAAAGGAACATTAGAAAATAATGCTTAGTTTTGTTTAACTCTATCAGAATAAATAAAAAATGCTTCCAAAAAATGAGAAAACTTTTTTTCAATAAATTAATTAAACTAATCATTTTAGAGTAAATATTGAAGTAGCTTAAAAGACAATGGAAAATAATTCAATTTATCTGTTTAAACACCTCTCTTTATTGACTACTATAGCAGAAAATATGGTCATAAGCTTCCTCATGAATATTAATATCGTCAAACACTGAAGCCATATACTCGAACGGCTGCTTTAACATTGAAATCATTGCATAGATTAAAGATATTCATGTGCAAATTGTATGTATGATGAAGATTCCTTAAGTAAATGACAGAATATCGATTGCTGTTAATCAAACGAATTATATATTTATGAGAACTTTAGTGAAACTGGTTTGCAATAATGTTTTTCAATACCTTTCTTGAATTTAAAGATATGTCATCAGAGCTCAGATTATTAAATTATGACTTTTGAAGCTTATCTATCTTGAGTGTTTACTGATTTTTGAAAACTTATTAAACTTTTGAAAATCGATAATTTTGATTATGGTATTATTTCTTGCTCAGAGCTTGCATAACTTTTGAAAATCGATAATTTTGATGTAGGTATTATTTCTTGTTCAGAGCATGCATACAAAACTCCAGAATACTCTGCTTTAAGAGATATGCTTGCCTTAAGGGACGGATGTGTATCTGACCTGACAAAAAATTGATTTCAGATTTAAAATAGAAATGTCTTGTTTTCACTAATGCAATTTAAAATTTCAAACCATGTCTAAGCTTTGAAAGAATTACGTAGAAAGTTATAAGATTTTAGAAATGATTTTCAATTTATATTTAAAATGGTAATTTAATAGATAACTGGCAGCGATTCAAATGTTCTCAAACTGTTTTCGCATAGCAGACCTGATCGTGGCATAAATACGTAAACGCGGTTCGAATCGATATACTCTGCTTATTCAGTACTTTGAAGGAAAATACGATTTTCATTTTATCTTGTCATGAAATGGTGGACATGAAATGTCGTTTTACTACACAATACAATGAATTTTTTTTATTCATTCATATCTTAAAATTTCCGCATTTACACAGGAAAGACAACGGAAATTACATTATCAGTTTTCAATGCAGTACATTTTATTACAGCTTTATTTACTGTTGAAATAACTTAATATGTGAGCTCATTTATTCAGACTTGACCATGTTTATGTATATTACACAAATATCGCGTCTTAGCCCACAGTGTTCAGCATTACCCACGGCTTTATATAACCGCGCTTGTAGTACTCGAAAATACTGAGGCACTACTGTAACATTTTATCGCTTGAACAAAATTTTAAGAACTTATCCCAGCATTTTTTTTCAATACAGGATAAAATATAGAGTTGACCACAAGTGTTTGCTCTTTACAAAATAAATAAATTAATTAAGAAAATAATGAAGTTAATATTTTGAGCTTTTATTTAATAGAACAGATATCCTTTAATCTACATTTTCAAAATATAATCGTTAAGAAGTAACCTTCATGTCTTTGTTATCCTTGCAACTAAACATGAAGATTTTGAAATGCACTAAGTGTATCACCATGATTTTTGCTTCTTTAAGTATGCATTACTTTTGAGATACAGTCCTCGATAAAAAGGCCTGCAGGAGGAAGATCAAGACACCTTGTAGATAAAGGGAAGTTATCGATTTGAGGAGTCGGTTTATTTTGGAAAATTGTGTAAGCATTGAACTCGTTTTGGGCTCGTTTAATACAGGGCATGTATCACCCTTCTGCTGCTGTCAAATTCTTCAAATTCTTGAAACTCTGATAAAAAAATTCCTGATCATTCCTTACGGAATGACTAATGTCTAGCACAATGTTGTTGCTTCAACGAGATAGGGGCCGTCCTGCTTGTTTCACATTCGTTTTGTTTCAATTTTTTTTTTTTGTTGAATCAGTTTGTTCTGATTCCTGGATCTGTGAATTAAAATAATACTAAGAACTCATTCATTTAAAAATTAGTGGAAACGTTACAGCTGCCTTAGAGTTACATAAGAATCATTATTCTTGTAAAATTGCTTTACACAAAAACGCACTGTTCTTTCATAAAGTTCTCCGTTGTGACTAAAATTTCCACAACTGATGTATTGCCACTCGACGAATCTATAACTATTTCTAAAATTCTTTTTAAGGAAGCATAACTGCCATATGGAAAAGTTATAGTACACATTGTATGCCATTGATAATTGCTTCGCTCTTCAAACCTCCACAAAATTTAAAAAAATCGTCAAAAATATATTATTTCTAAGAAAGAATCCTCCAGAAGAAATATCAGTTCACACACCGAATGATACAAATAAAAGTAACACAGCACTAACGATGTTGTGCCGCTATCAAGAAGAGTTAGAATCTAGGAAGCATCAAGGAAGTTTAGATAAAAATATCTTCATCGAGGTTATCTAGTATTAGAATGTAGTAGTAACAAGAATGTGAATCAATTTCCAGAAATAAAAGCATTTAGTAGATTGTAGTATCTATCTACTAAATGCTTTTATTTTATTTGTAGTAGAGATTTTAGTATTTACTACAAATATAGTAGTGGGGGCTTTAGATGAATGGCTAATTTTATATAGAAGTAGTGATTTTAAGTAGATGAAATTTAAGTAGTGGTTGCGGTTTTAAGAAAATGAAATTTAAGTTGTTGCTTAAGTTTTCGAATGGATAAATGAGTAAACGTACCATCTAGACATAGTCCGATCAAACATTCATAATTTTTTTTTACTGTAGTAAATTGATTATTATTAGAAGTAAATTTAGTCATTTAGCAGTGTTAAGTTATCAAGTCTGAAATGTGGCAAGAAATGGAATGCCAAAAATATGTAAAAGCGTCTTAGTTCTAGTTCTATGCGCAGAAATTCATAAATAAACACTAGATATACGTAATGCGAGTAAAGTAACTTGTATGAGTAAATTATTTATGTTACGTTATTAAAACGCTGTGAGGATGCAGAATGAGCGGATACTGGCATATGCTGCATTTTGAAGTTATTATTTACGTAGTAACATCACTTACTGACACTGTCATTATGATATTTGTAATAAATAAGATTGTCTTGTTACACTTCTAAGGGAGTAATTCTACGTATTAACTACTTCAACTTCTACCCTTTATACGGTACGAAAAAGCTGTCTGATAAGTTATTACTGGTAGATTAAATAATTTTGTAAATGCACTGCCATAAGTTTGCTCTGCCTCACCGCCTGTTAGCGATAATGTAATATATAACAACAAAAACTTAACAATTGCCTAACTTAGGATGAAAGAAATAGTTCGTTAACAGACTTTTAAGTTACAACTCTAAATACTTTCCAAGCAAGGCTACATGATATAGTTCGGCAGCAAAAATTTGCTTCAAATCTTTGCTTACCATCGCAGGATTCTAAACCTTATTCCAGCAACGGCTTTCATTAATCGGCAAGCGTGATGGCCGTTAGCCGAACGTTGATTAAACACTCAGCTACCGTTACGAATCCTTTTCCTGACTTTATACTAAATTACTGCTACCTAAACCTGCATAAATTTCCTGAAATGAGCTAGTCAGAGACGAAAATGAGGCATATAAGGAAGATGCAAATTAAAGTTAACACGTTAATAAAACTAAACTATAATGCCGCAATTTATTTAAACAAAAATATGCATTTGTGCTTTAGAATTTTCGGCCCAATAAATCCTTTCACTAACTTGCGGCGTAGGTGTTTGTTGAAAACAAACAAACAAAAACAAACAAAAAAAAAAAAAAAAAAAAAAAGTAGGCAGTTTTGAAACACACTTAAAATTTCATTTCCTTCAGCATGTGAAGCTGTGTACCGTAAAACAGTATAGAAATTTATACCTCAGTAATTAAAAAGATACGTTTTAATAAAAGCCTTGTTAAGCGTAGTATTAGTAAGTGTGAAAGCTACTCCGTCTCTTTGAATAATAGTATGTCCTTTCCTTGTGATATTATTTATGTCCTTTCCTTATAAAATTATGTCCTTTTTCTTTGAATAATATTTTGTCTTAATTTAAAACTATTAGCAAATGTATAAAGAAAGCACTTATGTTTTAAAATGTATATTAACACACATCAGTATTTGTTTTCAAAATAATTTACGAAGAAAATTCATTATTGAATATTTTATGTTTCTGCTTAGTAAATCATTTAATAACCATTAGGAAACATTTTTATGCTTTTCAAATACAAAAACTAAAAGTTATAATAACGGTGGAAATAATGGAAGCAGTTTTAAGTATTGGCATTTCTAATGTTAAAAAATAAACTTTATATTTCGGAAATCAAATTATAGCTTTATTGGTGTATAAGGTAGTTCTCCTGCCTTCCTAGCGTGCCTTCGTGGTGTAGTGATTCTGCACGCTGTGCCGGTATTCCAGAGGAGAGGTCCGTGGTTCGATTCCCGGCGAAGGCGTTTGCTGATTTTTCATCTGTCCTGCTTCTAAAAAATACCTAATGTCTCTACAGTGGCGCTCGAACTAAAAGGGTGTTGGATGATGATTCTCCACACCCAGGATTTGGTGATTGGGTCCCCTAAAAAAAATAAAACCTAGTCGCCCTTTAAAAGGGGGGGGTATATAAGGTATTTCTGCTGCCTTCGTATCGTGCCTTCGTGGTGTAATGGTCAGCCCACTGAGCCAGAATATTAGAGGTCCGTGGCTCGATTCCCGGCGA